GGATGGGATGGGGAGGGGATGGGATGGAATGGGGTGGGGTAGGGATGGGTTGAGCTGGGATGGGATGGGGATGTTATGGGATCGGATATGGTGAGATGGGATACGGTGGGATGGGATGGGATGAACTATTTCAGTTGGAAGGGACCAACAACAACGATCTCGCACAACCGCCTGAGCTCTTCAGGGCTGACCAAGTCCCAGCCTGGTGTTAAGGGCATTGTCAAAGGCCTCTCCAACAGTGCCAGGCGCGGGGCACCCACCACCTCTCCAGGTGCCGCTGTCGGTCCCGGCAGTGCGGGAGAAGGTTCCTCTCTCTCTCCCCTGGCCAGGCTGGTGCACCATCAAGCCCGAGATCATCTGCAAGATGGAGGGAGGAGAGATGCCGTGCGTGCCAGCCCCCCCCGGGGCGCAGCAGAGGCACCGCAGCCCTGAGCCTGGTGGGTACTAGAAGGGGGTTTTGGGGGACTGAAGCAGCACCGTCCCCTTGGCACCAGATCCTTGGTGCCCCAGGAAGGGTGGGGGGCTGTTGGGATGCCCATCTCACTCCCCATGGGGAGGGCTCCCACCTGCCCGTCCCGTCCCCACCAGTGACGCTGACGTCTCCTCCCCAGCAGGCGGTGATGTCCAGAGGCAGAGGGAGGATGGGGGTGTCACCGAGGGGCTGCCAGACCCCACCACCCCGGTCCTGGGGATGCCCAAGCGGGGCAGGAGGCAGCGGGGAGGCACCCCGGGCAAGGTGCTGCCATCCTGGCCTCCCTGCAGCCCCCTTCCCCCCAAGAGCCCCCACGCCTGCGCCGAGTGTGGAATGAGCTTCAGTAAGATGCAGGACCTGAAGAAGCACCAAGAGACACACACGGCCGCGTGGCCCTTCTCCTGCTGGCAGTGTGGCCGCCGCTTTCGGCTGAAGAAGTTCCTGATGACGCACCAGAAGGCGCACAGTCGGGAGAAGGCCTTCAACTGCCCCGACTGTGGAAAGCACTTTGCTCACAAGCATAACCTGCTGATCCATTGGCGAGTGCACACGGGTGAGAAGCCCTTTGCCTGTGGCCACTGCGGCCACCGGTTCAGGCAGAAGTACCACCTAGTCAGCCACCAGCGCATCCACACCGGGGAGCGCCCCTTCGCATGCGCCCATTGCCCCAAGGCTTTCAGGGACAAGCAGTCCCTCACCATCCACCAGCGGGTCCACACGGGGGAACGTCCCTTCAGCTGCGCCCACTGTCCCATGGCCTTCAGGCGCAAACAGACCCTCACCAACCACCCGCGCGTCCACCACTGGAGAGCGCCCCTTTGCCTGTGACCTCTGCCCCAAGGTCTTCAGGAACAAGACGGCCCTCAAAATCCACCAGCGGGTCCACACTGGGGAGCGCCCCTTCGCCTGCACGCGCTGCCCCAAGACCTTCAGGAAACGGGCAGCTCTTAAGCAACACCAGTGGGTTCACACTGGGGAGCGCCCCTTTGCCTGTGCCCGCTGCCCCATGGCCTTCAGGCGCAAGCAGACCCTCATCATCCACCAGCGGGTCCACACTGAGGAGCACCCCTTTGCCTGTGCCCACTGCCCCAAGACCTTCAAGGACAAGAAGACCCTCACCATCCACCAGCGTGTTCACACCATGGAATGCTCCTTTGCCTGTGCCCACTGCCCCAAGGCCTTCAAGGACAAGAAGGGCCTCAGTGCCCACCAACGGGTCCACACCAGAGAGCGTCCATTTGCCTGTGCCCACTGTCCCAAAGCCTTCAGGGACAGGACAGCCCTCACCATCCACCAGAGCATCCACACCGGGGAGCGACCCTTTGCCTGTGTCCACTGCCCCAGGGCCTTCAAGAACAAGAAGACCCTCACTGTCCACCAGCAGGTCCATACTGGAGAGCGCCCCTTTGCCTGTGACCTCTGCCCCAAGGTCTTCAGGAACAAGACGGCCCTCAAAATCCACCAGCGGGTCCACACTGGGGAGCGCCCCTTCGCCTGCTCACACTGCCCAAAGACCTTCAAGCAGAAGCAGGCCCTCACCATCCACCAGCGCGTGCACAATGGGGAGCGTCCCTTCCTCTGCGCCTACTGCCCAAAGACCTTCAAGCAGAAGCAGGTCCTCACCGTCCACCAGCGCATCCACATCGGGGAGCGCCCCTTCGCCTGCACCCACTGCAGTAAAGCCTTCAGGGACAAGCAGGCCCTCACCATCCACCAGCGGGTCCACACTGCAGAGCGTCCCTTCACCTGCGCCCATTGCCCCAAGACCTTCAAGCACAAGAACGCCCTCACCGTCCACCAGCGGGTCCACACCGGTGAGAAGCCCTACAAGTGTGGTGAGTGTGGCAAGACCTACAGCTGGAGGAATGGCCTGAATCGCCACCAGCGAATGCACCGGGTTCCGCCCGTGGTGCCGGAGGGTGGCCCACTGGAGGAGGTCGGTCCATCCCCGGTGTGAGGGCGGGCGAAGGCCAAGCCCTTCCAGTCCAGTGGCTGTGAGAAGCAGTTTTGGGACAAGGGGATCCCACTGGCCCACCAGCGTACCCACGGCACCTCCAGCCTGTGGCCGCCTGTGCAGCGCGGCGCCCCTAAAAAATTCCACACCGGGGCACACAGATCACCCTGTCTTGCCACCCCTCGACGTGGAAGCTGCAGATCCAAGGAGAACGCTTCAGGACCCCTCGTCCCTCCTGGCCAGGGCGTTTCTTCCACCTCCGCCTTGCCCTACAACCCATCCGCCTGCTGGCCCGGCTGTCCACGGCCATGGGCCTTCTCGGGAGGTGGTGTGGACAGAGGGTGAGCGCTGGGGGTCTGAAGGACATCGCCTCCACCCCGGGGTCAGGGACTGCCGTTTGCCGGAGGGTGTGCAGGAAGGAACAGTTTTGCTGCTCACCAACCAGAGCCTGAAGCCCAGCCCGCTCCCCCGCAGCGATTCCTGCCCACCCGCTCCGGTATCAAAGACCCATTTGCCTTTTTGGGTCAGCCAACCCGCCTGTGTCCTGGCCCAAGCTCCTTGCAACAATTAACCCGATCCCAACCGAATCAGGACATTATCCACCTCTTGGTCTATAACATCTCCGTCCTGCCCAGATCTCACACTTCCCAATTAATCACCACCACTTTGTCTCTGAGATATAGAGAGATACACAGATACAACTCCCTCGGTCTCTGGGCCATCCCTCTCAAACGCCCGTTGGCTCCATTCAGCCCACGGCTTTGGGCTCCATCGCTCAGAGCAGCGTCTCGGGGCGGGAGAGACGGTGTGTGGTGCTGCACTGGTGCGTGATGGGTTCAGAGCTGGCGGCTGGTGTCCCTGCTGCGGCCCATGCCCACGCTCTGCGGGCTGAAAGACGGTGGTCTCGAGGAAGGCGGTGGGCGCCCGTGGCGGAAGCCGGTCCTGGTCCCATCACCGCTGCACTTTGCTCTGTTTCATCAAAGTGCATCCGTCCTTAGTTTGGGGGATTCTTACTGTAGTACCATGATACGGCATATGGCCATTGTAGTAGTGGTGCCATACAGTGGCAGCGTTATTTAGCAATTAACGTTGTGCAGTTTGATTCATTGGCCTTTCTCACCTAAAATCACATCCCCATGAGGTGCACACTGGATCTCTCCCTCCTTCCGCATCACCCCCCAAGTGCCCCCACATCCCTGAGCGAAAGCAGTCCTGCGGATGTGTTCGCCTTTGCCCGCAGCAGGACTGACCCAGACTGTCTTCCCCAACTGTCTCCACGTGCACTGTGGGGACTTTATCCCTTTCCGCCGTCGGTGGCAGCTCTGACTGGGCAGGCCCGGCTCGGTTGGCAGATCCCCTGGGGATAACTAACCCGGTGGCCTTTGCTAATGGCGTATCCCAACGTTCGAACGTCCCCCCACCCGCGGCTCTCTGCAGTCTTTAAGAGCCCGTTGTATCGTTGGATCTGCCCGGAGGCCGGTGCGTGACGGGGGATGAGATATCCCCACCCAGTGCCACGGTCGTTGGCCCAGGAGTCCACGGGGCTGGTTCGGAAATGAGTCTCGTTGTCCGACTCAACTCTCTGGGTGCCGTGTCACCATAAGACTTGTTTTCTGAGGCCCAGGATAGTCTGCTGGGTGGTGGCACGGGGCACAGGGGGTGTTTGCAGCCATGTGGTGGTGGCTTCCACCATTGAGAGCACATGGCGAGTCAGTGGCCGAGGGGAGCTGCTCTGGAGCTGGGCCGACATGCAATGGAGCATCAGAGCTCGGTGCAGAGGTGGTTTTCCTGAAGGAAGGACACGCCGGGGCAGCAGGGAGACCCGCCAGGAGCCAGCAGCTATGGCGGGAGGCGCTGAGGTGGCCGGGGCCTTGCTAGAGCAACGGTGACCACCACTGGCCTGTGGAAAAGTACCTTGGGGAGCGTGAGTGACCAGGAGCGCGGTGACCAGGACGGGCAAACGTGGTGTGGGGCGTCAGCCTGTGCGTGGCATAGCAGTTCATGCGGAAGGGCGCATGAGAATCGCGGAATGGTCAGGGTTGGAAGGGACCTCTGGAGATCAAAGGGCACCTCTTCGAAGGAGGAGCGTTCTACTGGCCGAGCACTGTTCTGTGACCGTCTGGATGGGTCAGGGGCCCTCAAGGCAGCATGGTGGGCACTCGTTTGAGGGCAAAGGCGGCAGCTTGGGCGTGGGGCTCTGCACCACCCACCCCAGTGGTGGCTGATGCCTCCACCCAGACGGAGCTGCTGAAGGGAGAGGCGGCAGAGTGGACCTTAGGCTGCAGGAGGTGCCTGGACCTTTCTCCCGGGGCAGGGATAGGTGGAAGACCTGCCTGCAGGAGGTGCACCCAGGTGGAGGACCTCCAGCAGCAGGGGCAGAGCTGCAGGAGGCGGTGAGGAGGCCACGTAACATCAGGGAGACTGAAAAGGAGACGGAGAGCTGGTTCCAAGTTCAGCCTGCAGTGGACCCACAACCCACAGCCACACGGTCAAGAACCCCCGCGCTGGCACATGCAGAAGGGAGGGAGGCCAGGGAGACGTAATGGAAGCTTGTAACTGGAAAGACCAGCAGGAGGAAGAGACTTGCCCCAAAAGCTGAGGTGCCCTCACAGAAGCGCTTCACCGCTCTGCAGGGTGAAGAGGCAAAACCGACTGTATCAGGAGAGGAGCAGGAGCTGAGTAGGACTACTCGATCTGCTCCACGTGTAGCAACCAGCGCAACTAAGAGAAGGTGATGGGTGATAGTTGTAGGCGACTCTCTTCCGAGAGGTACGGAGGCACCATTTGCCGGCCCGACGCGCTCTCCAGAGAGGTGTGCTGCTCACCGGGGGCTCGTAGGAGGAATGTCACCAAGAGACTACCAAACCTCGTGCAGTCCTCTTTTAAAGATAAAGGAAGAAGGAGGGAAGCGGGGATGTTTGGAGTGATGGCGTTTGCCTGCCCAAGTCCCCGTTACACGGGATGGAGCTCTCCTGGGGACGGCTGAACACCCGCCTGCCCGTGGGAAGCAGTAAATGAATTCCTTGGTTTGCTGTGCGTGTGTGTGCGGTTTTTGCTATACCTATTAAACTGTTTTTATCTCAACCCATGAGTTGTTCCTCACTTTCACCCTTCTGATTCTCTCCCCATCCCGCGGGGGAGCGAGCGAGTGGCAGCGTGGTCCCAGCTGCCGGCTGGGGGGGAACCACCGCA